TTTTTTTTTTTTTTTTTGCTGACGTGCCAGTTAAGTGGCAAAATTATTAAAAAATGACCAAGGCAGGACTCGAACCCGGGACAGCGGACCTCTTGTAACAAAGAAGGACAATAGTTACTTTTTTTTTTTCAAAACGATAGGCAGACAATAGTTACTTGATCTACGACATTTCATGTAAAATACTTAACTTCAATTATATATCAATATCGTTTTATAAAAAAATTATTAATAACTTAATTTATGTAATTTAAATTATAAAACTCATACATATTTATTTATTAAATATGTAATAATTACGAAATTAAATTTTGTAAATTAAATAAAGAAGTAAGTAATATTATATTATTTAATTACATTGTTTTATTTAACTTTCACTATCATTTATGTCATTTATATATTAATTTGCCTTATTTTATTTATAATAAATTGAATTTATATATTAAATAAATATTTACCAAATAAATAAAAATATTAATAATTTAGTTAAATAAATAAATTAAATAATATAATTAATATTTATATTAAATAATATAATAATATTTCTATTTAATTTAATTATTTTCAGTTTGTAATTAATTCATATCTAATAAATAAATATTTTTTTATTTTTATAACTAAAAGTGGTAAACATTGATTTATTATTTAATACAACTTTGAATTATAAAAACTTTTTCATAATTTAATCATTCTAATTTAATTGCCATATTTTTTTTTTAACTTTTACTAATCATTTATGCTGTTTTTTATATTGAATTACTTATTTAATTATAATTTAATTTGCTTTGTTCCACCTTCGCATTTCACTCTTCCAGCCCTCTGTGTGCTTCACAGCTTCAGCTCCGGCGTCAATGGCGATTCGATCCCTCCTCCGATCAGTCTCCCACGCGCGCCGTCCCAACCCGATTCACGAACTCACCAACGGCCTCTCATCACACTCAATCGCCACTCACTCTCATCACCTGAACCAGGTAACCCCAAACCCGACCCCCCAACACCTGGTCAACGAGCTCGCGCGCGTCCTCAGCGACCACAGAAACCCCCAAAACGATGTCGAATCAGCCCTCGGCCCGTTCGCACCGGCCCTCTCCGCGGACCTGGTCGAGCAAGTCCTCAAGCGCTGCAAAAATCTCGGCTTTGCCGCTCACAGGTTCTTCATATGGTCCCGAGGCATTCCCGGCTTTCAACCCAGCCGGGAAAGCTACAGTATCCTAGTAGATATCTTAGGGAGCAGCCGGCAGTTCCCGATTTTATGGGATTTTTTAGCAGAGATGAAAAATGCAGGAACCTGTGAAATCAGCCGAGAAATTTTCTGGATTGTTTTCAGGAATTACAGTCGGTCCAACTCACCGGGTGATGCAATTAGAGCTTTTAACAAGATGGTCGATTTTGGGATTAAGCCTTGCGTCGACGACCTCGACCAGCTTATGTTTTCTTTGTGCAAACGGAAGCATGTGAAGTGTGCTCAAGAATTCTTCGATCGGGTTAAGGGCGGTGAATTAGTCCCGACGGTGAAAACCTACAGCATTATGATTAGAGGTTGGGGTGACATGGGAGATGCCGGTAATGCACGCAAGCTGTTTGATGAAATGCTGGAAAGGGGTTACAAAGTGGATTTGCTTGCTCTGAACAGCGTTCTACATTCTCTGTGTAAAGGAGGGGAAGTAGATGAAGCTTACGAGTTATTTCGTGGGATGAGGAAAATGGGACTCGAACCTGATGCTTATTCGTACTCGATATTTATTCAGGCTTCTTGCAGTAGAGACGATCTCCACACAGCCTTCCGGGCTCTGGACTCTATGAAAAGAAATAATCTTATTCCCAACGTGTTCACCTACAACTGCGTGATCAAGAAACTTTGCAAGGACGGTAAGATAGACGAGGCCCACCAAATGCTGGACGAGATTATAGAGAGAGGTCTCAAACCCGACACGTGGAGTTACAACACGATTCTATCCGCCCATTGTGACCGTAATGAGGTCAACAATGCCCTAAAACTTATTTCCAGGATGGATAGAGATCAGTGCCAAAGGGACTCGCACACATACAACATGGTGCTTAAGATGCTCATAAGGATAGGAAGGTTTGATAGGGTCGACAAGATTTGGCACTCGATGGAGAAGAGAGGGTTTCACCCCTCGGTCTCGACATATTCTGTCATGATCCACGGGTTCTGTAAAAAAAGATGGAAAGTTGAGGAGGCTTGCGAGTATTTCGAGAGGATGGTCGATGAGGGAATACCGCCTTATGACACGACGTGTGTTCTTTTGAGGAATAAGCTTGTCGGGTTGGGGTTTGCCGAGAAAACGGATGTCCTTGCAGGCAAAATGGAAAGGAGCAGTTGTAAGGCAATTCAGGTTAAGGCTGGTCTCATGAGGGGTAATAGGGGACACGTGAAGTTGAGAAGAGAGACAGAATTCTCGGATGAAAGTGACGAGACGAGCGAGTCTTACGATCGGGAAATGGATTGTTTGTAGTTCAATTGCAAAATTGCTCTTGTGGTTAAGTGTGTGTTACTGAAAAAATTGGTTGACAGTTCAAATCTACGCTTATCTCAAGAGTCGAGGAGTTAGTTTTGGGTTATATGGAACAATGTAGGGGTGTTTGTAACATTTTGAAAATGTGTTCTTTGTACCAAAAAAAAAATGTGTTCTAGTTTAAGAGCTGAGTTATGAAGATTTAGTTTAGAGTTGTCTGTATATATGAGATTGGAGGTGGAGAAAAACTGCCATTGATTCATATACAAAGGAATTTGGATCTAAGGACAAGGGAACTATGTGAATTGCGTACGTGTTTTTCAATTGTTTGATTATTATTTGTGACGGTTTGACATCTTTATCGTGAGGATTGGTTTAGGCATGAAAACACAACCATGGTTAGGGGTGTGCAAAATCTTGTTAAATTGATCAAAACCAGCCAAAATCAAAACTTTGGTTCGGTTTTAAGTATCGGGTCAGTGTCGGGTTTTAGTTTTCAGCTTTTTCGCTTATCAGTTAAGATTTTGGGTTTGAAATAATCGAACTGATCAATGCGCCATTTAAAATATTTCCTAATATATATTTCATTAATAATTTTAATTTCCCACCTCATCGACGCTGAACTGAGTTCAGGCCTTTCACATTTTTCTCACAAGACTGCCCTTCTATCAACAAAAGTGAAGTGAGGATTCTTCAAATCAAGATCCTCAATTCCTCATTTTGTAAAGTTTCAAATCTCATATGTTGTTATCTCTCATTCCTAAAATTAAAAATCCTGAGTCTGTGAACCACTGTAGACCCATTAGTCTATGCAATGTGAGTTATAAGATTATTTCTAAAGTGTTAGCCAATAGAATTTAAGGGGTCATGCACCATTGCATTAGTGAGAATCAAATTGCTTTCATACCCATGAGACAATTTTAGATAATGTTATCATTGCCCATGAGTGTTAGCATTTTATTAAAAATTACAGAAACAGAAAGAACAAGTTCATGGCTATTATATTAGATATGACAAAGGCTTATGATCGAGTGGAATGACATTTTTTGGCAGCTGTTTTGAAGAAGGTGAGCTTTGATCAAGTTTTTGTGAATTGGGTCATGTCATGTGTATCTATTTCCTCTTTCTTTTAGTATGAATGGTCAGTCTTTGTGGTCTTGTGAGCCCTACTAGGGGATTAGGCAAGGGGACTCTTTGTCACCTTACTTATTTATCATTGTGTCTGAAGCTCTTGCTAATCTTATTCAAAGAGCCACATTTTATTCAGGGTTAAAAGGCTTGAGTATTAGTAGGGATGCTCCTCCTATTACTCACCTATTTTTTGCAGATGATACTTTGTTGTTTTGTGAACCTGTTTGTGCTCAAGCATCGGTAATCAAAAGCATTTTGGATAGGTTTTGTCTTTGCTCGGGTCAACTGGTGAATTTTGATAAATCTTGTTGCTTTTTTAGTAATACTACTCCAGTTGGCGAGAAGGTAGATATTAGCAGGATATTGGGGGTATTAGCATTCAAGGGAGTTCTAGGTATTTGGGGTTTGCTATGCTTATAGGTAAGAATAAGGTTGATATTTTCAAGTTTGTGGTGGATGAGGCTTCTAATAGAATAGGGAATTGGAAAAATCAGTTTTTGGCCAGGTTGGGAAAGGGATTCTGATTACTTCGCTTTTGAATGCTTTGTCGGTGTATGTTATGTCTTGCTTCAGGCTACCTAGAAGCATTATCAGATCTTTAAACTCTTTGACAACCAATTTCAGGTGGGGTGCCAATGGGGATAGAAGGGACAAAATTCACTAGGTAGATTGACTTACTTTGATAAGGGAGAGAGAAAGTGGAGGTTCGAGTTTTAAAGGTTTTGAGGCTTTTAATGATGCACTAGTAATGAAACAATTGTTTAGAGCTATTTCTAAGCCTGAACTCTGATGGGAGGTTTAACGAGAGCCAAGTATTATAGAGACAAACATTGGTGAAATATAAAGGTGAAGTCCATCACTCATGGCTATTAGTGTTGGCTTAAATCTGCAAAATGGTTGAATATGGGATTGAGAGTGAGAATAGAAAATGGTAAAGACACTCTGCTTTGGGAAGCACCATGGATTTCTTTAAATCCACATTTTGGCCTATCTCGAGAATATGAAAACAATGGGGGTTTTATATGGGTGTCTCAACTTATTCTAGCAGACAGAGGAGTGTGGAACAATGCTTTGATTAGCAGCACTTTTGATCGATTAGATGCAGAACAAATATTGTGCATAACTTTTAGACATCTTAATCATCCAGATAAAATGGTTGAATACCATTCATCAATCCATTGGGTTGTGCAATGGTAATGTTGATCAAAATTCCATCTATCATCTATGTTTTCTTTGATTTTTGTACAAATTTTAGTAATATATTTTTGTTGTCCTACTTTTGAGCCCAATGGTACACGACTGGTTATTACTAAGCTCAACAATCATGTCCTCAAATGTAGAATTTTAACTGGTGCTAGAGTCGGTAATAATGTTGTTATCATAGACTCACAATTATACCATCTGATTTGAAGGTACCTTTCAAGTTTCAGTGCAGGCAGTTTCCGCTCATGGTTTCCTATGCTATGACAATCAATAAGAGTCAATGACAGCCTTTGTCGCACGTCGACCTACTACTTAAGAGCCTTGTATTTAGTCATTGGCAATTGTACATGGCGCTTCCTAGAGTCACATATCATATGTATTTGAAGATAATGATTTGTGCTGATGGAGATTGTGATGATAGTGTCATGATAACAAAACCACGAACGTTGTATATAAATAAGTGTCTAATATTATTTAGATTTCTTTATTAAAAAAATTTCAATGATTATATCATATGATCTTTACAATTTTTCTTTTTTTTTTTCATCTATTATATAATTTTCCGTGTAAATGAATACTAAAAAACTAGTGTAGATAAAAAGATAGAATAAAATGGTTAATTGGGTTCATCACTTCTTTTCGGACATCTGCAACAAAAAATTACAGAAATTCTTTTCAGTTTTACGCTTTCATTTCAATGGTTGCTCCAACTGTGGGGAAAACCCTACTCATCGCAACATTGATATCATTTGCTGTATTTCTAACCCTAATTTTGTTCATCCCTACGCCCTTTTCCCAATTTCCTCTCAGTCATCCACCGTAAGTCACCTAATTTGCTCAAATATCCGACACTTACACGCGGCATATTCTTTTTTGTTCTTTTGTAGCTGTTGTTATCGTTATTATTTTGGATCTTATGATCTGATGTAATAAACTTGAACAGGTCAGAAAGAGTTGAGATATGGAGTTTGCGGAGATTGTTCGAGTGGCGGCCTTGCAATTGGTGGCTTCAAGGGCCTCCTGCTGGTTAGCCATTATTTTATTTTTATTTGTTTTTTTCTAGATTTTTTTTTTTTTTTTCATTTGTATTGCAGATCTTATTTGATGTGTGTTGGAGTCTTAGGCATTGTAGATTACTGAAGTTTGCTTTCTAGTATGAATGTATGATCAACTGTTAGGAAATTGAATGTCACTATTTGACCTTGATGAAAAACTTTGCCTTGTGGCGTTGTCGGTATTAGGACTAGTTGATGGTGCAAAGGGACTCTATGAACATTGTGATTGCTAGTATTCGAAACTTTGTCTGTGTAAAATGAGAATTGCTGCTCTTTTCTCCAAGAATACAGTAAGTAGATGTGAGTTAATATGACGAGGAGTGAATATCGTATAAGTTCTCTAGGTTATATCTTCAATGGTTGGTTGCATAATTGATTGTTATTATGTATTTTTCCCCTTATCTGTCATTTTTTTTGAAGTGAAATCTCGAATATGTCCAGTGACTGAAATAGGAGGCTAGTAAGCATAATTAGTAATATATTTAGAATTTAGTGAAGTTTGTTTTTCATCTAAGTCAACGTTGACTGGCATCAAATGCAGACGTTTGCTTTGGTTTTTTGTGTTGAAATGCTGCAGCTCTGCCAGCCAAGAGCAATGGGTATATTCGAGTTGATTGCTATGGTGGACTCAATCAGATGAGAAGAGACGTGAGTACTTTATCATAATACATCATGATTATTTTTCATGAACCTATTCTTTCTCTCGTATCTTTTGGTAACTGATAAACGATTGCAGTTTTGTGATGGTGTTGGTATTGCCCGCTTGCTGAATGCCACTCTTGTTCTACCCAAATTTGAAGTTGCTGCGTATTGGAATGAATCTAGGTAATAACTGCGAGCCTCAATACTTAGAGAAATTCTATAGTCGCGTGTTGTTGGTTGAGTAGCCTTAATCCTGAAGACAAATTTTTATTGACCCAAAATTTGTTGATACAGTGGATTTGGTGATGTGTTTGATGTGGAGTATTTCATGCAAAAAATGAACGGCTTCGTGCATATTGTGAAGGACCTGCCTGAAGAGCTTGCATCGAAAGAGCCCGTTAGAGTTGACTGTAGCAAGCGTAAAGGCTTGTTTGATTATGTGGAAACTGTACTCCCGTCACTCTTGGAGCATAAATACATTTCACTTACTCCAGCAATGAGTCAAAGAAGGGATAGGTACACATCCTAAGATGCATTTAGTGTGCGTGTGTGTTGAAATAACTGATCTTATTTATACTGTAAATAAAATTGCACCTTTATGCATCGTGTTGTGTCGATTTTGATAACTTATCCGCGTATTCAATTTTTCTATTTATTATCTGTATATCTGAATGCAGTTTTGATTCTTGTTTTCTTGTGTTGAGAACCACTTTAAATTCCTGAGGAACACATTTGAAAGTTGAAACCACCAAGGACCTGGGCATCTAAAAAAATCACTCTGTTCAATTATGTACATTGCCCCTTTTTACTCCAGTAAACTATCCCCTGAATTCAGAAGCTTGAAAAAATTAAGTCCTGAAACTAATATAGAAAAAAGGGAGAAATGAAATTGCGCTTTCTACTGAAATTGTTGCTAAAATGGGATTTAATTTCTACTGTTACTGAAATAGAAATGGCAGACCATCTGTGATTTTCCTTTTATTCATATCCTCAAACCTCCTCAAATAATAAACACATTGATGTAGTTTAAATTTTTTGAACCCAATCTCATCGTCGATTATATTGCAGGTACCCTCAGTATGCAAAAGCTGCTCTTTGCCAGGCTTGCTACAACGCTCTACGCCTAACCACTACATTGGAACAAAAAGCTTCGAAGCTTATAGAAGCCATGCCAAAACCTTTCCTCTCACTCCACCTCCGGTTTGAACCTGACATGGTGGCTTACAGCCAGTGCTCGTACTCTAATCTTTCCCCTTCATCCGTTCAAGCAATCGAGTCTGCACGTGGGGACAGAAAACCATGGACCGGTCAACAAGCCCGTTTGTGGCGTGCACGGGGAAAATGCCCGCTCACACCCAACGAGACAGCTTTTATTCTCCAATCTCTCTCTATACCCACAAACACAAACATATATCTGGCAGCTGGGGATGGTGTTATGGAGCTCGAGGGTCTAACATCGGTTTACGCCAACGTTTTCACCAAATCTACCCTCTTGAGTGGTGAGGATGTTAGAAACATGCATGGGAACACGAAAGCCGCTTTGGATTATTACGTGTCGATCAACAGCGAGTCTTATGTGGCTACATATTTTGGGAATATGGATAAAATGGTGGCAGCCATGAGGGCTTTCAAAGGGTATTATAAGACGCTGTTTTTGAGCAGGAGGGGATTTGCGGCTTTGAGTTCACAGGGGCTTAAGGGTAATTTGCTGATGGAGGCTTTGTGGAAGGTCCATAGGGATGATTTTGTGATGGGGGTCGGGTCGGCCCTGCCCGACTGCTTCTGTGAATTCAAACTATGAGGTGGACATACCGAAAACATGCCAGTTTTCGCTTATAATTTGAACATTTTTTTTTTGCCTTATTGTTAATGTAATTGTAGCCTGTAGGAGATTTTTCTATTGCAATAGAGTTGTCACATTCCTGAAAAATGAAGCATTCTTTAATTGTTCTAATTGCAACAATCATATGGATGTGTGATTTTACCCTCACGATTGTATTCCTTTGAATCAATTA